AGAGCTACTACAAATTCCCAGTAGCCACCCAGGGAGATACTGTGAAGTTAACAGCAGGATCTAGTGATCACTGTTATGGAGGTCTGTGGTGGGGGTGTAGGGGTGGAGGAGCCCCCATTGTAGGCCCTGTGGGGCCCTGTCAAAGGCCATAGTGAGCTGTTTGCCTGAGTGGGAGTGACCTTGATGACAGAACCTTCTGCTTTCTATGGAACGGAATTCTACCTAAAATTCCCATCAAGTTGTGGTGGACAAGTATTCTGAGATAGTGGACGACTCCTAGCAGGGTACACAGTTCAGGTCAAGCCTTAGAGAGGGGCTTGACCACAGCACCCTTTACTCCTTTTAGTTTCATACTTATTGGGCTTGTCTACATGTGACACTGACTGCACAGTAGCCAAATAACACTGCACAATAGCACATCACAGCATGGACAGTGCCAGTATGCTACTGTACCATATTATAAGGCTACTGCACTGTAGTGTCACTTAAAAGGCATTCACTGGTGCTATTGTGCAGTAACTCTGGTTACTGCACATTTATTTAGTACTGGATTATACAAGTGCTAAATAAATGCGCAGTACCCACTGTGCAGTAGCATCTCATGTAGACATGGCCATTATATCCAGCCATAGCTAAGTAGTAACTTTTACTTTTAAAGAATGTCATTCTCTTTGCTTATTCTTTCACCCAGAAAAACTTCTGTCTGATATGAAATATAAAGGAGCTTTCTCAGGAAAAGGAGCAGTGTGTTGATTTTTACTTTCCAACTCTTGCAAAAAAAATTGTTTTGGGAAAGGAAACAGGTGTTTGCCCTCTACTGAGAATCAGAGCAAGAAGGGTGATTTTGTCAAATTAGTGATTCTTAGGCTTTCTGGGCCAATGGATCATGGTCAACCATCAACATTTCTCATCAATCACATTACATTAGCATCAATCGGTACAAGGGAAGGTCTCAATGTGATCTTCAGATCAGTTGTGAACCATTTACCATAGCTTCTTGGACCACAGTTCAGGACTTACTGCTAAACCCATTCAGGCTCCTACAACCTTCCAAGGAGTTGTACTACTTCAGATTAGAGAGTAGAAGAACCAGTCATTCCAGGCCCTGGGGAGGAGAATTCCGTGTGTGCAAGAGAAATCTCTCTCTGTCTTGTGGCAAAAGTGCTGACAAATGATTGCACAGAAAGGGGAAGTTACAACGGTACCCAAGATGGACTTGCTTGTTAAGGAATCTCAGAAAGTATCTGGAATAGTTACTGAGCAGAGAGTCTATTTTATAACTCCCCACAAAGATAGACCAAGGTAGGATCAGCAATAAACGATCTTCTACATTAGTGAGAGTTCACTTTAACATCCTGTGATATTTAGATGGTAAAGCTTTTAAGGTATATGTTACTGCAAGTTCCATTTACCCCAGAACACAGCCAAAAAGTTTTACTTTTGCAGGGTCTCTTCCTCCAGACCCTGCTTGTATACCATTTTAAGCAGCATAAGTCAGAAGATAGAGTACTGATGATGGGGGGTGGGTTTGGACAAGAGTAATAATGCAGCATTCACTCAAAACTGATAACTGAAGCAGCAGCTGCAAGTATAGGGTAAAATCCAACAATAGTCTTTGCAATATCATATATAAGAGCAAAGATGGTTGTAATTATCATACTTGGTGAGATGCTTTGTATCTGTTTCCCCCACCCTAGCTCTTCTGTGTGGTTCCCTGTCATATTACTGTACTTTTCTTGGTCTGAGACAGGCAAGAGTTCCTGCAACTTGGCACTGACATTCTGAGACTGGCAGCCCTGTGGTCCTTGTCCAAGTTGGCTGCCTGGTTGAGGGCTTTCATATCTTAGACTCCCAAAATACAGATGTGCATTTGTTCTGGTTCCACAGATGTGTCCAGGCCTGGGCCACTGTCCAGAACTTGATCTAGTTCATCCTAAGACAGTTTGGGCAGCACCATATATATTATTGCTGTCTTTGGCTTTCTGGAACTTCACTTTGAAACCTTTCATTTTCTTCTGCACTGCTACCTGATCTGCTGTATCTGATAATAAGCCAGCTGGCTGCTAGCATATACCAACAGACAGTTTAAAATTACTTTTTGAGTGCATCTATATGAGACATTTACTGCAGAGTAGACTAATTAGCAACACAGTAAATGTCTCATATCTACATGTTCAGGGCTATTAGACAGGAGTAAACTAATACATTCTGCAGGAGGATAGTACTTGTAAATACAAGTACTATTCTCCTGCAGAATTTTTTACTCCACAGCAGTGCACATGCAGATCCTGGCACTGCTAGCTGGGGCACAAGAGTGCTTCAGAGTGGGGGCTGCCTGCTGGCTAGCCCTGCACTGGAGCACCTTCATGCCCCAGTCCACCCCTCCTCAGCACATTGAGCCAGGGGCAAGCAGCCCTGGGCTAGCAAGCTGACCCCCTGGGTCCCCTTCCAGCCAGGACTCTTCCGACCCAATTCAATGTGCTGCAGTCCTGGGCGCACATGCAAACACTGTACCCCGGAGGAATAAACTAATTGCATGTGTAGACGTGCTCACCAGGTACAGGGATGTGCCTGCTCTGGAAACGGCTCCTTGTGTGTGCAGGGGGGAGCACCATTCAGTTTGCTCCACTCACCCCCTGCCCCAGATACACTGAGTGCCAGAGTTTATTGCTTCACCTTAATAGCATGTGTAGATGCAGCCTTTGAGGAGTTAAAATTGTAGGGTTTGCTTGCTTCAAGCCAAAGCTGCACCATTCCTCTGATTTGATCCCCTAACCAGATAAGCACATGCTAACACATGGACTTCTTACTGGCTATTGTTCTACTGTATCAAACACAAGAGATGGACCAAGTTGGAGATACTATGAGCAGAGTGGGATTGAAGACCTTTGAGCAGGGACGTGTGCAAATAGACCACCTCTGGTTAGGGGTCAGAGTACAGGAAGATGCCAAGAGTATGCCTGATAGGGAAGCATCTGGTAAAGCACTGGATCATCAGGCTGGCTTTGCTTCATGTTTTCACTGCAGTTACCTTGAGCTACCAGTATGAATGATAGGACAGCTTTGGGTATCTTTACACATGCATGCATCACAGTGCTGGGCACTTTTCAAAGCACCTGGCTCTGCGACACATGCAGTTGTGT